TATATAGTAGAAAATATTTTACTGTCTGTAGACAGACCTGTAGTTGATTAGAATAGGCGTTATTATAGCAGCTGATTTGTTTTTTTTGTAATACTAGAACTAAATGAACGGTTGACAATAAATTATTTTAGAAGTTACATATATTTTTATTTTTATTTTGTGTTAAGTCAGTTTAATCTTAATAATTTTTAGTTGAATGGTCTAAGGGCTACGATGGCTATCCGAGTACAGAGCCAGAATACAAAACTAATCCAACTGTAGAGATGTGTAGGACAGGGTAACGTAACATCCCCGAAATAATTTAACGCTGCATTGGAAGACGTTTTCAAGCTACTGGATTGGAAAGGACGTCACTCACCTTCGTTTTGCCGACAGTATAGTTCTTATGGCAGAATTGCTGTAGGACCTACGCACTATGTTCAATGACCTCAATAGTGTCTCCCAACGGATAGGTCTTAAGACGAACATGGACAAAAAAAAGTCATGTGTAATGTCCATATCACACATATGCCGGCGGTTTTTGGGAACACTTAGCTGAAGTTGTTGACGAGTATTTTTACTTGGGGCAAATAGTCCGACTAGCTAAGTTCAACTTCGACCGACAGGTCAATCGACGGATTCAACTCGGCTGGACAGCGTTCGGGAGATTACAACACATCTTCTCGTCAGTCAGTGTCAGTGATGGATGACCTATGGACCTGAGACCAGGTCTTTCACTGCTGGCCGTATGAGGAAGCCCGAAGTCGCTCAGCGAGCTATGAAAAGTGCTATGCTCAGGGGTTCAAACTCAGGAATGAGGATATCTGCAGCAGAACCAGAGTAACCGACATCGCCCAATGGATTAGTAAGCTGAAGTGGTAATTGACCGGCCGTATAGCTCGAAGAACCGAATACTGATGAGGAAAAAAGGTTCTCGAGTGGCAGCCTCGTACCGGCAGGTGAAGTGTAGGACGTTTCCCCACTAGATGGAGTCAAAACCTGGTAAGATATACAGGAAGTTGATGGATGCAGGTGGCTCAGGACCGTGCTTTGTGGCATTTCTTGGGGGAGTCCTATGTTCAGCAGTAGACTTGTGAAAGGCTTTAATGATGATGAATGATAATGGCATTATATTAATATTGTTACGCGCTCCAGTCAACGATACACTAGCGCCATCTAGTGTCAGGAACGAGAGCGAGGGGAGCATTGAGAAAATGACATCACAAATTACTCAACCGACAGCGCCTAGTCGAAACTCGAACGCTCGGTACCTTGCCCGTGTTTACTTGAACATTCTGGATATTTCTTTGCTAATTTAAATATATAGGCGCTGCAAGATGCGATGGGAGCAGTGTTGATTTGGGCGAAACAAGCGAAGCTTCGGAGTGGAATTGAGTGAATTAGTGTGTTTAAATTATTAGTGTTTTAACTTTAATTGTGTAAAGTAAATTAAAGTGTTAATTTAGGTAATTTTATCGGCAAGTTTTATTGTCACGAACCTCAAGCTCGTAACAATTGGTGTCAGAAGTGGGATAAAATCATGCCGATTTTACCTAAGGAGGAAACGGAGGGTGTCCGTACCCGCAGTCAACGCCAGCATGAGACGGACCAGAGGAGATTTGGTGGTGCAACGCCACAGACGTCGGAGGGCCAACAGCCAGCCACGGAGGCTGCGGGCCCGTCATTAGCTCCTACACCTGCAGCACCTGACTTAGGTGCTCTGATGGCGATGCTACAGGAGCAGCTGCAGCGCGGACGAGAGGAACAGGCCCGTCTGTTAAAAGAGCAGCAGGAGGAACAGGCTCGCCGACAGGAGGAACAGGCTCGCCGACAGGAGGAACAGGCTCGCCGACAGGAGGAACAGGCTCGCCGACAGGAGGAACAGGTCCGTCGGTTGGAAGAGCAGCTGCGGGGCGGCCAGGAAGAACAGATGCTTCTCATGAAGGACCTTCACGCTACCTTCGGGAAAGAGATAAGGGAGGTGAAGGATAAGGTTGCTCAACATGATAACCGCCTGTCGGAAGCTGAGACCCAAATCAACCAAGTTAAGAAAACGCTGGATGAACTCAAACTTGGGGATGGAACCACAGCTCCCGTAGTAGCTTCAGCACCTTCGCTACGTGGGTTCAAGGTGCCACCGTTTGACGGGACTTCTTCCTGGTCAGCCTACAAAATCCAGTTCGAGGCTGTTATGAAGGCGAACGGCTGGAATAAAAGTCAGGCCATGACTGCTCTCACACTAGGCCTGCGCGACCAGGCCTTAACAGTTCTGGAAGCTCTCGGTGAGGAAGTGACTTATGAGCAACTCCTTGAAGCATTGGAGGCGAGATATGGCGACGCTCACCTGGAACACGTCTTTCGTGCGCAGCTTAAAGATCGCGTGCAGCGCATCAACGAAAACCTGCAGCAGTGGGCTCTAGAGGTGGAGAAGCTGGTTCGAAAAGCATACCGGTCTGTACCTGCGCTCATTGAAGGGAACCTGGTGCAGACATTCATCGACGGCATCCGTGACCTGGAAGTCAGAGCTGCTGTGAGGCTCGGGCACCACGAGACGCTTAAGAACGCCTTGGCCCATGCACTGGAGGTGGAAGCCGTGCGGCAGGATCATCGTTCCCATCGCGTCAGGGAGGTTGCAGCAGCTACAGTTCGCGACCGCAACAAAGGATACAGCCCTAGGTGCTATGGCTGTGGGGAAAGGGGCCATCTTCGGTCCAGCTGCCCTAAGCACACCCTAGGAAGGGAAGGTGAACGGTCTCAGAAAGGAAGTGCGGCTAACAGCACCGCCCAGCAGCAGCAGGAATACGACTTTACTATCAGACACTGCAGCGGGAAATCTCACGGCAACGCAGATGCATTGACAAGAAGACCTTGCCCTGAAGATTGCAACCATTGTAGTAGGCAAGAGAGTAAGGAAGTGGTATCCGTGAGGATGCTCAGGACAGACCACCTCAGCAACGGGTGGAAGGACAGCCTACGACATGCACAGCAGGAAGATCCGGACATCAAGCCGATTCTGGGATGGATGAAGGCCCGTGCTACCAAGCCTAAGTGGAGGGACGTCTCAGCGATGAGTTCAACCACGAAAAGCTATTGGGCCCAATGGGACAGCTTGCTGATTCAGGATGGAGTCCTGTGCCGTAAATGGGACAATGGTCGAAGGGACAGCTGTCGTTTGCAAATGGTTGTCCCTAAAGCTAAAGTGCCGAATGTTCTACAGTTGTGCCATAATGGTCGTTCAAGAGTCCATCTGGGAGTTAAACGAACTCTACTGAAGGTCCGAGAACAGTTTTATTGGGTCCATTATCGTGACGATGTCGAGGATTGGTGTCGTACATGTACAAGTTGTGCGGCCGAGCGGGGACCTCGGACACGTAGTAGAGGAGCACCGAAATTGTACAATGTTGGTGCACCACGGGATAGGACAGCCCTTGACATTGCGGAGCCGTTCCAGAAAGGCGCAAGAGGGACTCCTAAGATCGTCCATGTGAATCGCTTGGCGCGTTATTATGGGGCCGATAATGCTCGGGACGAGCATGTCTTAGGAGGGGGCAGTGTTACGCGCTCCAGTCAACGATACACTAGCGCCATCTAGTGTCAGGAACGAGAGCGAGGGGAGCATTGAGAAAATGACATCACAAATTACTCAACCGACAGCGCCTAGTCGAAACTCGAACGCTCGGTACCTTGCCCGTGTTTACTTGAACATTCTGGATATTTCTTTGCTAATTTAAATATATAGGCGCTGCAAGATGCGATGGGAGCAGTGTTGATTTGGGCGAAACAAGCGAAGCTTCGGAGTGGAATTGAGTGAATTAGTGTGTTTAAATTATTAGTGTTTTAACTTTAATTGTGTAAAGTAAATTAAAGTGTTAATTTAGGTAATTTTATCGGCAATTTTTATTGTCACGAACCTCAAGCTCGTAACAATATGATACATAAATAGAATGGACGTTACGGGTAGAGTCCATCTATCCATAGAGTCTTTTCTATTTAGGTATAGGTAGAGTATAGAATTTTATCGATATAATTTGGTACACTGTGTCATCCCTATTATTAGTTCCGTGGACGTGCACTTCTGCTGTCAGCGCCAAAATGGCGGAAATCAAATCGCTTCATCATGTCACGGTGTATAGCCAGTCCAGCGTACTTGTACATAGAGGTCAGTGGTTTCGGCTTATACGAGGTTCTCGTCATACGAAGAGAAGAGCCTGGCCCGGACATTTTCGTGCACAGCTTCCGGCAAGTACTTGTAATACGGCAATTTCCGGTCCACGAACGTACGACCACGACGAGACCGTATTTCAGAACGAGCTCCTGATGTATAATTCTGGCTACTAGGTTGTGCCTGTGCAAGTACTCAGAGTTAGAAAGCGCCGAACAACCGGAGATGACATGCCTAAGTGACTCCCCGGGATGGCGACAAGCTCGCCAAATGTTGACAGTGCCATCCCTTAGGATGTATCTCCGATAGTTGTTGGTCTAATAACCTGACTTATTTTTATTATTATTATATTATTATAAACCTGAAATGTTCCCTGCAGGGCAAAGGCCTCCCTAAACTCTTTCCGCTGCTATCTCTGCAGAGTCACCATTGACCAGTCCTTCATGAAGGAGTCCAGTTCCTCGCGCCATCTCCACTTGGGTCTGTCTCGCTGACATTTAACTTTTATAGGCACCCGTTGGGTTGCAACATTTTTCGGGAGAAGTGTCCAGCCCAATCCCATTTTAACGTAACATCAGCAATTTTCGATCAGGAACGGATTTCGGTATCGCTAATCTGGTCTACAAGTTTAATACCCTAAATACTCCATGTCATTGCTCTTTTACCAAGTGTGGACCTCTGCCATATTTTATAATAAAAACTTTATGGCACACCGTATAATAATAAACATAAAAAAACACAACTCTACCACGTATACTAGTTCTAATGAAAAATACTCTAATATATCCTTACTTACGACCTTAGTGACGTCCTTAGTGAGACTGGTTTCGATATGATAAAGTGACGAGGTAAGACTGACCTGAGCTTGACGCTGTCGCCCCAGGCGATGAGCTCACGGCGCAGGTACACGCGGCCGCCGGCGGCGCGCGCCGCGAAGTCCTGCAGCGGGTCGGCGTCCATCACCCAGCCATTGTGCGCCATCACGAACCGGCCCTCGTCCGAGTAGATGAGCGCCTCCATCTCCGCCAGCGAACCCACTGGGCACGGATACGTGAAATACCTGTTATTTAAAAAATCATATCATAAACTTATGTTTTCGGCAAACGTTACGATACGATTCTGTAAAGAGCGTAGGATCGTTCAAAGTATAATGTATGCTCTAATACGTTGGACTAAGTGAAGAGACGAGAGACTCATTGGTAACCTTGATTTGGTTGAAACCAATCTTGTCAGCCTCGAGCACAGGCGCAGAGTAGCCAGCCTCTCAGTATTCTATAGAATGCATTTCGACAAGTGTGGAATTACACGCTTTAATTCCTCCCTCTCCTTTCCACCATCGGTCGGCGGGTCTACACCCTCCGTTGTCAATGTTCCACGCATAAGAACAAAACGGTTTGCTTCTTCTTTTGTAATGTATAGCAATGGAAGGTTTTTTTCTTATACTATAAAAAAGGGAGTGGAGTAATTTGGCGGCGTCTATTTTTCCGTCCAAATACAATCTCGGCGTCTACAAAGTAAGAGTGAATATGCTTTTATTACGCTAATATCGTAATCAAGGATAGATGTAGATATCTATGAGCCACAGTAATCACTTACCATCAATTGGACTGTGTGCTGGTTTGTCACCCTCATCCTATAATAAAAGACCATCTAGAGCGTACTGTACCGGTATGCGCAATGTAGGGCGACCCCCACTAGATGGAGTGACGACCTTGTAAGACATGCATAAAGTCGATGGTGGCGGGTGGCTCAGGACCGTGCTTTGTGGCATTCCTAGGGGGAGGGCAAAGTTCAGCAGTGGACTTGTGAAGGGGTATAATTGTGAATTGTATGGAAAGTATGTATAACAAATTAATTAAATTCAATTACACTTTCGTGTTTCTTAAAGATTCGAATATACAAAGGGTGATGCAAAAGTAATGATAATCGGTTATTAGCAGTGCACATAAAAATCCAATTTTTTTTATTGTTTGCTATGTACCCATTGGACCAGCATAAAAAAAACATTTAAATAAGTTACGATTCCCGGGAGTAACATTCATTTGAATACGAATCAGAGTTAACATTAATACGGAGAAAAACGAAATTAGAGCTGCGATCAAGTACCTCTGTTTAATAAAAGTCTACCAATGACATACACAGCGACTTGGTGGAACATTGGGAGACTCTGCTCCTCCATATTCCACAGTTGCGCGCTGGGCCAAAGAGTTAAAGCCGGGCAGAACATCAACGGAAGATGAAAATCCCCCTTTTCCCTTCCCTTCGTACTCCCCTGTCTGAAGATAATGTGAAAAAAGCGAAAATATCGTACTGGCAGATCCAAGAGTGACCATCAGGCATATAACTGAGGTCACAGGGATCTCATATGGCAGTTTTCAAAGAAACTCTGCGAACAAATTTAATATGAATAAGGTCTCTGCGCGTAGGATACCGAGAATGTTAACCGACGAGCAAAATCGAGTCGACATTTCGAGGGTGGATCTCGAAAGTTCCCAAGTAGATCAGGAAAAATTTTGTCACGTTTTGTAACAGTGGACGAGACCTGGATTCTCCATTGTTTTGTAACAGTAGACGAGACCTGGATTCTCCATTGTTTTGTAACAGTGGACGAGACCTGGATTCTCCATTGTTTTGTTACAGTGGACGAGACCTGGATTCTCCATTGTTTTGTAACAGTGGACGAGACCTGGATTCTCCATTGTTTTGTAACAGTGGACGAGACCTGGATTCTCCATTGTTTTGTAACAGTGGACGAGACCTGGATTCTCCATTGTTTTGTAACAGTGGACGAGACCTGGATTCTCCATTGTTTTGTAACAGTGGACGAGACCTGGATTCTCCATTGTTTTGTAACAGTGGACGAGACCTGGATTCTCCATTGTTTTGTAACAGTGGACGAGACCTGGATTCTCCATTGTTTTGTAACAGTGGACGAGACCTGGATTCTCCATTGTTTTGTAACAGTGGACGACACCTGGATTCTCCATTGTTTTGTAACAGTGGACGACACCTGGATTCTCCATTGTTTTGTAACAGTGGACGAGACCTGGATTCTCCATTGTTTTGTAACAGTGGACGAGACCTGGATTCTCCATTGTTTTGTAACAGTGGACGACACCTGGATTCTCCATTGTTTTGTAACAGTGGACGAGACCTGGATTCTCCATTGTTTTGTAACAGTGGACGAGACCTGGATTCTCCATTGTTTTGTAACAGTGGACGAGACCTGGATTCTCCATTGTTTTGTAACAGTGGACGAGACCTGGATTCTCCATTGTTTTGTAACAGTGGACGACACCTGGATTCTCCATTGTTTTGTAACAGTGGACGAGACCTGGATTCTCCATCGTTTTGTAACAGTGGACGACACCTGGATTCTCCATTGTTTTGTAACAGTGGACGACACCTGGATTCTCCATTGTTTTGTAACAGTGGACGAGACCTGGATTCTCCATTGTTTTGTAACAGTGGACGACACCTGGATTCTCCATTGTTTTGTAACAGTGGACGACACCTGGATTCTCCATTGTTTTGTAACAGTGGACGAGACCTGGATTCTCCATTGTTTTGTAACAGTGGACGACACCTGGATTCTCCATTGTTTTGTAACAGTGGACGACACCTGGATTCTCCATTGTTTTGTAACAGTGGACGACACCTGGATTCTCCATTGTTTTGTAACAGTGGACGAGACCTGGATTCTCCATTGTTTTGTAACAGTGGACGAGACCTGGATTCTCCATTGTTTTGTAACAGTGGACGAGACCTGGATTCTCCATTGTTTTGTAACAGTGGACGAGACCTGGATTCTCCATTGTTTTGTAACAGTGGACGAGACCTGGATTCTCCATTGTTTTGTAACAGTGGACGAGACCTGGATTCTCCATTGTTTTGTAACAGTGGACGAGACCTGGATTCTCCATTGTTTTGTAACAGTGGACGAGACCTGGATTCTCCATTGTTTTGTAACAGTGGACGAGACCTGGATTCTCCATTGTTTTGTAACAGTGGACGAGACCTGGATTCTCCATTGTTTTGTAACAGTGGACGAGACCTGGATTCTCCATTGTTTTGTAACAGTGGACGAGACCTGGATTCTCCATTGTTTTGTAACAGTGGACGAGACCTGGATTCTCCATTGTTTTGTAACAGTGGACGAGACCTGGATTCTCCATTGTTTTGTAACAGTGGACGAGACCTGGATTCTCCATTGTTTTGTAACAGTGGACGAGACCTGGATTCTCCATTGTTTTGTAACAGTGGACGAGACCTGGATTCTCCATTGTTTTGTAACAGTGGACGAGACCTGGATTCTCCATTGTTTTGTAACAGTGGACGAGACCTGGATTCTCCATTGTTTTGTAACAGTGGACGAGACCTGGATTCTCCATTGTTTTGTAACAGTGGACGAGACCTGGATTCTCCATTGTTTTGTAACAGTGGACGAGACCTGGATTCTCCATTGTTTTGTAACAGTGGACGAGACCTGGATTCTCCATTGTTTTGTAACAGTGGACGAGACCTGGATTCTCCATTGTTTTGTAACAGTGGACGAGACCTGGATTCTCCATTGTTTTGTAACAGTGGACGAGACCTGGATTCTCCATTGTTTTGTAACAGTGGACGAGACCTGGATTCTCCATTGTTTTGTAACAGTGGACGAGACCTGGATTCTCCATTGTTTTGTAACAGTGGACGAGACCTGGATTCTCCATTGTTTTGTAACAGTGGACGAGACCTGGATTCTCCATTGTTTTGTAACAGTGGACGAGACCTGGATTCTCCATTGTGTTGTAACAGTGGACGAGACCTGGATTCTCCATTGTTTTGTAACAGTGGACGAGACCTGGATTCTCCTTTGTGATCCTAAAACCAAACAACGACCAATGATTTAGAAACGAGTCTACTCACCGACGCCGATGAAATTCATTTGTCAAGTTCTGCGGGAAATGTTATGGCGTCTATTTTTTGGGATGCTGAAGGAATAATTATGTAAAATATTTGGGAAAGGGAGCCATTATTTCGGGCTCTTAATATGCAGGCCAAATAAGAAGATTGCGGGAGGCTATTAAGGAAAAATACTGCGAGCTGGAATGCTGTTTAACCAAGACAACCGCCTGACAAATACGCAGTTGCGTTGGCTGCCATTCAAGAAACGGGATTTGAATTGCTCGAACACCCACCCTATTCGGCAGAGCTAGCTTCCAGTGACTTGTATTTATTTTTTCGGTTCAAGGAAAACCAAGAAATTTGCAGACGCTAGTGAAGCAATGGACGCTTTTGAGGCTTTTTTGGATGGTCAAGATAAAGATTTTATTCTAAGAGAATTCCGGGTTCAGAAAAAAGATGGACTAAATGCATTGACTTGTAGAAGACTATGTAGAAAAACAAATATTTTTTTTTAACTATAACCACTGTGTTTAATATTTACTATCATTATTTTTGGATCACTTTTTGTACAGCTAGTTCGAACCTAGATAAATTATTGAGATAAGTAAAGAAAAAATAAAAATGGGAGAAGTCAGACTGTGTAATGAAAAGTAGACTCACCTAGGCACCAGCGGGTTTTTCTCGCTAACTTCCTCGATTTTGGGTCCATCCGGCTGCAAGCGATAGTACCTGGTTGGCATAGGAAAGATTAGAACGGTTAGTGTGCCGCAGACGTTGAGGCAAGTGAAGCGTGCGCGCAGTAGTTTTTAGTATATCCAAAAATGTTATATTGTTACGTACTGGTTGTATGGGGGTACTGGTACTGGGGGAATGGATGTATTTTCCACAGACACAGCAAGTATAGGTCGTAACAATATCCTTTCCTAGATTCTGGTGGACAGAAACTTTGTTGTTAACAATGGTTTCTCTTAAAAAGGCACATTAATTATATCAATTTTTTCTATGCAGGACTCCTTATGTCGTTTACGGTTTTCTGTCGCCAAAGTAGCAAGTACTGTGTTCTGGTCTAAAAGGTATGATTACATACTGTGAGACATTATACATTAGTCCTTAGAAGGTAGACGAATTTGCAGCTTTCTTCGTTTAAAGTTCGTTACAGGTGTCCAGGTGAATTGGGATCTACGCTGCAGCTATATTATGGTTGTAACACAAATAGGTCGGCTTGACTGGGGTGAGATCACGCTCTCACAGAATACCAGCGTAAGACAGCAGATTAATGTTGCTGTGTTTCGGATGGTGATGGTCTCTAACCTAACGCAAGGCCTCTTTTACTCTTGACAATAGAAATAATAGATTTAATTGCACCTCATCATCTGTTATTTTTAATTCTAGTATCAAATCTGGTATGTTTCCCGATTTAATGAATCGTAGTAAAGTAACCTTACCACCACTTACCTCATGGCAGCAAGGCAGTTGAGTGCGGCGGCGCGCAGGTGCGCGCGCAGCTCGTCGGCCGCCACTGCGTTGAGGCGCGCCAGGCGCCGCTCGAGCGCCGCGCCGCACGCACGCAGCCGCGCCTCCTCGTCGCCGCACTCCGGCCTGCGCGACCACACCCCACCACCTCGTCATGTCTTGGTATTCAATTTAATTAAAATCACGCGATGCGGTTCTCAGCTAATATGTGAGTGAACTCCGAATTATAGTATTTAGAGGTTAAAAACTCGTATAACTCTAATAAAATGCGTTTCGCCTCTACGTAGTTTGTACCTTTATCCGAGTACACTTTAATTATGGGGCCGCGGCGAGAAAGAAACCTTTTAAATGCACCCATGAAGCTAGCCGTGCTTAGATCACCGGCGAGCTCTATGTGTACAGCGCGAGTAGTCAGGCATACGATAATACAAACATACGCCTTCGTAGATCTTACACCATGCCCACGAGTAAGCGTGAACGTCGACAAACCGAGCAGCAAACCGAATGGTCGCTTAACGTATGGGCAGGTTTATTTAAGGATTTAGATCGGTAAGCTGTTTCATATCAAATTTTTATAAATAACTTAGTACTGATCTGATCTGAATAGGTACATAACTGAATACATCAGAATAATAAACATACCTACACAATAGATAATTTAAGTAAATTTTCATAAGCGAGATATCGAACGTGTCGAATCGAATCCGTCGCACGGATGGGCCGGCTTAAACCGGGGTGGTACCACGACCTCACAGAATACCAGCGTGAAGTAGAGAGTCACCTCTGCGTTTCGCTTGGTGAGTGCAGGTGACCGGAGGCCCAGATCCCCCTCCCCCTTAACATGGTAGCGGAATTAAGTGAAGAACTACCTCAGTAGGGTACCAGCATCCATGGTGATAGAGAATCCCTCGCTGAGCACCCACGACCAAGTTATTCTACCCGTCCTGAGCGTGGGTATTCCAGGCTGCCATGCGTATTCTTGGCGCAATTCCACTAGCGACAAAAACCTCTCGGGGCAAGCGAAGCAACAACACCAAGGCAACCCCTCCCACGCTATCCGTGAATTTTTGCAACATCAGGAAACTTCATTCCAACCTTAATGCTGTCCACTACCATCTGGAGACGGCGAAGCCGGCCTTACACTTTTTAACCAAGACTCAGGTGTCCTCTGCAGCTGATACTTCATATCTCTCCTATCCGGGGTACAAATAAGAACATCCTTTGTGCCCCGAGCTGGAGTTTGCATGTACGTCAGAGAGGACATCTGTTTTCGACGCCTCGGCAGTCTTGAAGGTACGGAACTGTCCATTCTACGGCCGCGCGTAGACCGCTGGGACCATCCCTACGTCTACGGGTGCCTCTATAGGTTCCATAGCGGAAATACCGAAACACACCGACTCCTTGACCACGTCCCAATGACTACAGATTCCGTGCTACAGCAGATCCCATCCGCAGAGATCATGATCCTTGGCGGTTTGTGCTGAAGACGTGTGCTCCGGAGTTGCCACCGGTTTTAACACGTTTTTTCCGGTACTCCCACTCCCAAGGCGTAGTCCCGAATTCTTGAAAGAGAGCTTTAGTCCACCCGATCCCTAAAAAAGGCAACCGCTCAGACGTGCCAACTACAGGCCTATCGCCATCACCTCCTTATTCTCAATAATAATGGAATCTATTGTAAACTGCCAGCTTATGAGTTACCTTAAGGATTACCAGCTGATCAGTGATCGCCAACACGGTTTCCGTCGTGGTCGATCAGCTGGTGATCTTCTGGTCTACCTTACTCATAGATGGGCGGAGACAGTAGAGTCCAAGTAGGAGTTTACTTACTAATCGGAGTATCAAGGTCATAGTTGACGGTGCATGCTCTGATTACAAGCCTACTAAGTGAACACCGGCACTTAGTGAGTTTTAGTGAGTTTGTTGTAGCAATACGGCTTTCCCGTGGCTATCGCACACCCATACCGTTTGTGGACGGCGTCGTAGCGCATAGCGAAGAGTTGTCTATCTTTCTGATTGGGATGAGTCTAATGTAATCTCTACTGTAATGCATCTTCGCAGTTTTTATAAAATAGACTTTGACAAGCTTAGGATTGACGCTCTTAATCTTTTAATCTTTAATAGCAGCATCTACTGTTGACGATAAAGTCACTATCCTTAACCACAATATTCTTAAGCCTTTATGATGCTCATGCTCCAGTTCACAAGGTTAGATTGAAGCGTCCCCCTGCCCCTTGGATGACAGAGGGCGTAAGGATGGCAATGTCTAGACGAAATCGTGCTTTTCTTCGTTTCAAGAGAGATCGAACTGAAGAAAATTGGATATCTTTTAAAGCAGCCAGGAATAGGTGTAATCAGATGGTACGTGCAGCTAAACGCCGATATTTCCATAACTGTATTAATAAATCTTCTACAGTTATAGTGTGGAAATTCCTAAAATCTTTCGGTCTTTGTAGACCAGCTACGTTGGATTGTGGTCCTTCTCTGTCACTTGATGAAATCAACCAACATTTACCTTCTGTAAAAGCACTGGACCCTATAATTCGTTTCCAAACTATGGCTTCCATTGCTTCTATGCAAACTCCTAACATTCTAATATATATGTATAATAACCTTTAATTATTCTCCTGTTTCTCAGGATGATGTCAAAAAGTCGATTTTAGCAATCCAGTCCAAGGCCGTGGGTTACGACGAGATTAGTAGACATATGGTAGTATTTATACTAGAGCACCTTCTCCCGGCAATTTCCCATATAATCAATTTTTCCCTTGGTTCAGGTCAGTATCCTAATCTTTGGAAGAGAGCTTTTGTAAAGCCTCTCCCAAAAGTTCCTACTCCCATTCTTGCCAATCATTTTCGTCCAATATCCATTCTATCCTTTCTTTCCAAAATTTTAGAATCCTGTGTTTACAAGCAAATTTCTACTTTTATTTCGAAATATAACCTACTGAGTATATATCAGTCTGGGTTTCGTCCTGGTCATAGTACCACTACTGCATTAATTAATGTTATTGATAATATTAAACAAGGCATGGAAGAAAAAATATAACAGTACTGGTACTAGTTGATTTCTCAAATGCTTTCAACACAGTTGATCATGAAATCCTTCTTTCTATACTGTCTCATCTGAATCTTGGCCCTACTGAATTGGATTAGTTTGCATCTTATCTTCGCGGTCGATAGCAGTCAGTCAGTGTGGGGCAACTGTCCTCAGCTTGGGCTGATGTGTATGCTGGTGTGCCGCAAGGCAGTATTCTTTCTCCTAAAATGTTTTCAATTTTTATAAACTTTATTACCTCCATCATCGACTGCTCGTACCATTTTTATGCCGATGACTTTCAGCTTTATGTGCAAACTGAGATTGGGTATATCCATAATGGAATCAAAAACCTTAACGGCAACTTAGCTGCTATCAAGGATTGGTCTACTCGTTATGGAGTTTTAGTCAATCTTTTGAAATGCCAAGCTATACTGGTGGGTAGCTCAAGGATGCTGACTAAGATTAATCTGACAGACTTACCTTCTATTTACTATGATAATACTACAATTCCGTTCAGTAACTCTGTTAGAAATCTTGGCCTTCACATCGACAGCACGCTGAATTGGAGAACTCAGGTTCCTGATGTGAGTCGTAAAGTCACTGCCACGTTATGCTCTCTGTATCGTTTAAAACACTTTCTTCCCACAAAATCTAAGATCATTCTTGTCCATTCACTTATATTACCCATAATTGATTATGCAGATGTGTGTTACCCAGACCTGTCCCAAGATCTTCTGAACAAGCTGGAACGCCTCCTCAATAACTGTATAAGATTTATCTTTGGGCTTCGTAAGTATGACCATATTTCGCAATACAGATCTAAGCTAAATTGGCTTACAATCCGGCAGAGGCCTAACTCCAGAATATTGCTTGTACTTTTTTCGATATTAAATGATCCATCTTCGCCTTCTTATCTTAAGAGTAAATTTCATTATCTTTCCTCATCTCATGATAAGGTCCTATGCTTTTCTTCTAACAACAAAATCTGTACTCCAGTTCACTTCACCGAGTTCTATGGTAACTCCTTCACAGTTCAGGCTACACGCCCTTGGAACTCCCTGCCCGATGACATCAGAAGAGCACCCAATAAGTACGCTTTTAAAAAGTTGATCCGTGAACATTTATTAAAGACAATGCATTTTACATGACTCATTTATTTAATATGTATTGCCAAACAGACGTATATATTCATAGTCATTTGTATATACTAATTATGTACGTATTTATATATGTATACTTGTATGTATATGCATTTATTTATATATTTGTATATATGTAAGGATAGATCATATATGTATAGTTAATTTATTAGTAGTTTGTATATATTATGTAGTTAATTATCATTTGTATTGTGTTATCTTATGCTATATTGCCACACCTACGTCAAATTCTCACCACTCGATGGGTTGACTGGTAGAGAATGCCTCAAGGCATTAAGTCCGCCCTTTGTATTCTTTTGTTTAAGGATGCAATAAAGAATAAAATAAATAAATATTAAATATATAAAATGAGTGTGTTTGGTAGCACTTTTAAATGTAACAGGCGTACTCAACTTCATGTCTTAGTGCATTAGCGCTATGATACGTGGAGTTTTGTTCACTAGCGTATTAGTAGCGTGCTACTATGATACGTTGGTGATATTTTTTAGTTAACAACAATACAAACCTTGTTACCAAAGTCGATAGGGATCGTGTGGTAGTGTTGTGAGGGGGCGCCATCCGTATGATAGTTGCATTGGTGCTTACTGCTACTTGCGATATTGCATCTTGTGATTGATCTGCGTGTGTGCTGCACCTGATTCGACGCACTCTTGTGGTTCTGGTCGATGGAGGTATGCGGGTGGTGATGTCTGCTGTGATGTATGGAAGACCTTGGGATGGTGTAAGCCGACGATAGTCGTATTGATGCTTGTTGCGTTCTGCAGCATTGCGTCTCTGTGATGGTTGTTTGGTAGGACGCTATTCTCAATGGCGCTCTCTGCGTCTTGGTTTGACTCACACCTAAGTAGCTTTGCCCAAGTCGGGTCCCTTCATTACGGGGCTGCGGACTGTCTGCTCTACATGATGTTTTATATAACAACATAATAATATATCTCTGTAACTTTCCCACCTTTGAATGATTGAAGGCAACTTGTTGGTGGGTGAGACAAACACGATCGAAAATGCATTTACTCAACGTCAGTGGTACAAACTATTATTATTACTAACATCTTATAACTGCCTTTTGGCTATATCACAAACGCAAGCTCCACCTCACATGGAATACTGTTCTCATCCCTGGGCCGGGGCACCCCAGTGCCAGCTCCTTCCAATCGACCGTATCCAGCGCAGTGCGATTCGAATCGTCGACGACCGAGTTTTTTCTGATCGGCTCGATTCACTGGCGCTGCGTAGGGATGTTGCATCCCTTTGCGTTTTCTATCGCATCTACCGCGGGGAGTGTTCTGAGGAATCGTTCGGATTAGTTATAGGCACCAAATTTTACGAACGCACATCGCGTCAACATTACCGATACCATCGATAACTCTATGTTTTACTAGGAGTTTTCTTCCTCGTACAACTTCTCTGTGGAATTGTTTACCACCGGCGACTTTTCCGGATCGATACGACTTAGGAACCTTAAGAAAGAAAGAAAAGGCCGGCAACGTATCTGCAATTCCCCTAGTGTTGCGGTTGTTCATAGGCGGAGGTAGTCACTTACAATCAGGTGAACCACATGCTCATTTGCCCCTATTATTTAAAAAAAAGAACCAACTATTTGGTTTATTTAACCTAAGAATTCGCATTAAAGTGGTTTGGTGGAGACTAGCACAGTGGCAAAATAGTAGACTAAGTAGATAAGTTAGGTATTTGGACAAGTGTTGTAAATTATCAGGTATTGGTACGATCGCGAGCGGCACATGAGTAGATAATTCCGTTTATCTACTCATGTGGGTGCAGGACGAGCGCTTTTGGCGTCGCGCGTACAATGACCTTTGTCAGCTAGTTTTTAGGTATTGAAGTTTTACTGCTGGTTTTATATTTAGGTATTTTCATGATTTTTTTTAGGAAATTATCGTTTCATTTAGCTGTAGTAACATGATAGAGCGTGAATAAATCTAGTTAAACGTTGTAAAAAAAATGATCGAAAAAAGGATCGATTTTCTATTTGTCCCATCATCAAAGGTATCTTTAGTAGTATCGTCTGTCTTCGTTGTCGGAGCGTTTCAAAAATAACCAATATTATATCGTGTTGGAAGGGCTTTTTTGAGTTCTTTTTGTAGGTTTTCTTCTATTGCGTCCCAATTTATGCGGTTTGTGTGATATCTATAAGTCGAAAGCTTTTGTTTTTTTTATGCTTCGATCTAATACGGCGGATGTAAAATATATATTCCGTTTATCTACTCATGTGGCTGCGGGCCGAGCGGATTCAGCGTCGCGCTTACATTGACACTTGTCAGCTAGATTTTACGTATTTGAGTTTCACTGCTGGTTTTATGTTTAGGTATTTTCATGAAATTATCGTTTCATTTAGCTGTACTAACATGCTAGAGCGTGAATAAAGCTAATTAAACGTTCTAAAAATTATTTTATTTTCATCGGGATCGATTTCCTTTTTGTCTCATCATCAAATCTATCCTTAAGACTATCGTCTCTCTTCGTTTTCGGGAGCGTTTCAAAAACAGTATAAAGTGGTAGCATCGGATGAGTTAAGATAACTTACCTGTAGACGTTGTAGAGACGCAGCGCGAGGTCCATGTCTATGGTGGCGCGTAGGCGCCGGTACAGTGGATCGGGCTGTAACTGCAGCGCGTCCTCCCCCTCGCCCTCCCCCGCACCACCGGCACCCTCCCCGCGCATCGCCGGCACTCTGCCACGATAACACTAATGTAGTACACAGATATTACAATATGTGGACCCATAGCTCACACAACGATCATTTCTACTGCAGCCCGTGGACATCCGAGATCATATGTGGATCATGGTGGCGGTAAGAAAATTAACTACCTTACATTGAAGTATACTGTGCCATAAAAAAGTACTTTGTTTAACGCACATATTTTGTTCGCAGTGTCTGTTCTTGTAATTCCAGAAAAAAAAAGTTATGGCTTCCGATAGATGGTGACATAGTTATCTGACCCAGCCATGTCACACAGAAGCTTCAAAAATACTCACGTCTGATTTTGCGGTCATCAGGCAAATCCACCCTACAACGCGACAGAACTCTAACCTGCACTTTACTTTTACAGGTTGATAAAAAAGACAAAAAAAATACGTGTGGCTCTCGGTGCCTGCCGCGGCTAAAGCTATTGCATAGCATTTTTTATCAACTTATGCAATTATAATTATTTATTTATTTTATTTATGCAGTTAAGTCTTTCATATTAAATCAAGTTACACTTTTTGAGTGTGGTGACCGATAAGAAAACAATTTTTTTCTCTTATTGAATAAATGAGAAGTTAATATTGTTTAAAATATTTTTAATATCTTACAATACATGTAGGTTATTCAGGAATTTTTATCATTGAGTTAGCAGCTAGTGTACACGCATACGTCTAGTCGCACGCACACAAACACCGTGCCGAAGTCTGCCGAGTGCCGAAGTCTGCCGAGTACCGAAGTCTGCCGAACTGAAACGACGTTAGACGATGCACGGCTTTCAACGCCACACCTCCGTGCCCGTCGGAGTGGGGAGCGTGAGGTTTTTTTTTCGTTACGGAATTTCTGGATTCGGTCCCCGCGCTCAAGGCCCGCGATAGAAGCTATGCAACAGCTTAAAAGATGAATAATATAATTAATATTTAAAGAAAGTTACCGGTGACTCAACCCCGAAAGAAAGCAGAAAGCACGTAAGGTTGTTCGTTGCGTTGGCTACTACACCCGATCTCTCCCTGGTTGTGTCGGATTGCCGCCCTTACGGACTATGAGAGTGAGGGAATAGACCTTATCGCTTGCACGCTTTGCGTGCGCATACACTTGTGCACTGTAACACTGTGCTGGCTTCTTGTCTGCACTGAAACTGGCTACAGCATGGCGTAAGCAATAGATTCTTGTTGAGTAATTATGTGTTATATACGTTTGTAATCGTGTGGCAGCGGAATAAGAATATCCGCTGCCCCATATCATCTCGCAGATGTCGTACAAGACGACAGAAGGAAACAAATCAGGAGCTGGGCAGCAGCGTCTTCCTAATGACGTAGAAATAAAAAAACAACTGTGGCTGTCAATCCGCTTACCAAGCGTGGCAACTATAGCAAGTATCTCTCTTAGCAGTCAATTGTTGGGGGAGCCCTGTGTTCAACAGTGGACTGTAATAGACTGTAACGATAACGGTTAGTTTGTAATGTATGCAGGCTGTGTCCTGGCAGTTGGTACGTACTTGTTACGAGCCAGGCTCTGGAACTGTTCCAACAGCGCATCCACGTCGCACATGAACAGCTCGTGCAGTCGTGCCTCCGCCAGCCGCTGTGTCTCCAGGATGTGGATCACGCCCTGCGAAGTACGAACAAACATTTTACAAATAGCTTAAACTAAACTGCACTCGCACTTTTTTCAAAGCTAGTTAGACTGGACAATGAATGTATTCATATTTTCAAGGATGCTGAAAGATTTTAATTGTGTAAAATTTTTACTAATATTCAAATTCAAAACATCAACAACTACTAATGGAAACTATTTTCTTCAGAATTCACAGCAGTAAAATTTATCGCTAAACTAAACCTTTATAAGCTAATTTTTGAATCAAATAATAAAAATTACTAATCAATAATTAATAACCCAAACTAAAAAAACAAGAGCAATTTACAACACTTCGAGAGTACTTTAACAGTAATAACACACTACAACTTTAATTTACAACATTGCAATCCAGACGGTTGAAGACGAGTATGGAGGATGAGTAATGGCGGAGGGTGCAGTGTGCAGTGTAGACTGTAAAATGTAGAGTGTGGAGTGTGCAGTGTGGAGTTCATAGTGTGTAGTGTGCAGTGTGGAGTGTACAGTGTGCATTTTGGAATGTGAAGTGTCCCGTGTACAGTGTGCACTGTGAAGTATGGAGTGTGTAGTATGATTTATGCAGTGTGGAGTATGCAGTATGCCGTGTGGATGGTGCAGTGTAGAGTGTGCAGTGTGTAGTGTGGAGTGCAGAGTGAAGCATGAAAGGAGTGCCTCGAGCTGGTCGGGCTGCGTGAGACGGCGCGACGCCAGGTCGGCGGTGAGGCGCGCCAGCACGACGTCGAGCAGCGCGGCGGGGCGCAGGTGCGGGCAGTTGAGGCAGTTGTACGTGGCCTCGGGCGCCGTCGCCAGCCACGCCGTCTCGTTGGCCGTGTGATTCAGCACCACGTCGCAGATTGACACCATCTATATAATTCATCAAGTCAAAGACTTCTATTTATACCACTAGACGCGCTCTGCGATCTTAGTACACTGTGCTTTAAGTTACAGTCAGTTGTCCGTAACCCCTGCATTCGACTGCAAGCGGAAAAGAAGACCAGTTCCATTTTTTGTAAACCGCAAACTAGGCGTGTGTAACTCTTTACGGAACCGACTCACTGATTCGAATCACTGAAGTGATTCAAAAGATTAGTTCAGTAACTATGTCTGAAATTTATCATTTGGATCTGAAACATTACTTTGCTCTGTGGCTCAGTGCTCATTTCGCGCGACGCGTCGCTTGCGAGGCGACTGAGCCGCAAGAGAGAGAGTGGCGAGCAAGCGAGCGAATTAATTACAATCTAACAAGTGAAAGAGATAACAATTGAGAAGTGTATCACTCGACTCGTACGGATTTTCGCTGTAGTTATTCATGTTTCATGCACGTAAAAATTACCATTAAGGCAGTGGCGAAGCTTCAATAGAAGCCGTAAAAGCCGGGCTTGCCTTATCAAACTGAATCAATTAATAATATCAATCAATAATATCAAATAATAAAATAACTCGTAAACTGTTTCAAACTATTTCAAATTTCCCGCGCACTTCACTGTTTGACACATGTCGACCGATGACCTCGTATTGCCTTAGCGATACTGCTGCTATCGTAAAAAATGAGTTTTAATAGAGCGATTACTTGTCTCCCTCGCTCGCGTGGGCTTTTTACGGGGCTTTCGAGAAGACGTTCGCTCTCTTTCTAACCTATGCCAAAATATTCTATAATGAAATATAACTACGATTGTATATATATAGCAATTAGTATAAAGAGTTAATGCCAGGCTTTTGGAATGAAGTTGTCGAGAGCGCAGGCGCGCGGGCAATACGTTTGCAAGTTCATTTCACATTTCAATGTTTATTTACTCTGTGTGTTTAGCGTAAGCGATTTTAATATTGCGAGTTGAATTTTTAAAGATTTTTTGTGAAAATGGAGGATAATAGTGTTCCTTGTGATGAATTTAAGTGTGTTAATGTGCTAATCGGAGAGGAAAAGGTTAACAAGGTAATACACAAGGTCAAGAGTGTATTTCAGACTTGTCAATTATCGCAATTAAAAAACAGTTATTGGTATAATTAAGACGTTCACCAACATTTTACGTGGACGTAATTAAATCTTTCCTTAAGAAAGAGAGACGATTCCATTTAGAATGTAAATAATTTGTTTTTTTTTTTCATTTTGTACATTGTACTTTGTTCATATTTACTTTTGTTCATGTATTGTATTGTATATAAATATCTTTTTCTTTCGTTCAAACAAACCCAAACGGCTTTCTTCAAAGCCATCGAAGCTATGCAATTACTGATATGTAATACAATCTATCTAGCGGTAGTATGCCTTCTGTGTGCTTTGTTAAACACGTCCTTGACAGCACTGAATATGAAACTGAAGAGTGGAGACAGATCAAGATTGGTGTATTTTTATAAAACTGCTAAAAACAACAATATAAATTATTATCAATTTATATCTTGGGCTTGCTAAGGCGCTTACGTATCAAATAATATACGGTCATTTTTCGCATATAATATTTGCATTAACAAGTTTTCATTTTACGTTGATCCGGCACTTGCCAAATTGTTTGAGTTCGTTCGCGCCTGTTTACGAAAACATACTGAGTTCTGTTTAGAATTTCTTTGCGTAGTAATTATTATAACTTACTTTGTTCCTTATCATAATAAATAATATACCAGCTGGCTATAAATTAAGGACTAGACGCCAGTCCTAAGACTGGATAAAGTATGAAGGAGGATCGATTTTATATAGGTAAAACGTTATTACGGTACACAATAAATAACAATAAAAATAAGTAGAGAATATATAATAAAAATAACCTTATCACTTATATCATTCTGCATTGTTGACCGCGACGCAACTTAATTCGTAACATTCTGTATTTTATATATTTTGAGTCGATGATCCAAATGGGCCAAATGAAACATATCAGTGTTTCGGAACATTTCAGTGATGCAGATGCAAATGTTCCAATCGTAAAAATGAAGGGCCAATTTGAAATTAAAATCCCCCCCCCCCCCCCCCCGCGCGGTCCACGTCTGTGACACGGTTTTTGTTCTGAATTGCCAGCAGTAGTATACAGTAAATAACAAATAATTCGTTAGTTTAGAGGCCGTAAATACGTCCACTGATCACGTGGTTCCGGATTCAGATCTCGCGGTGGACTCCAATCAGTTATTGAGTTTTTCTGTCAAAAAATTTATAGAAGCAGCTCAAAGAGATAGAAAGAAAGAAATTTGGCGATCTTTCAACACCGTGCCTCGGATAGCACGGAAAGCCTTTGGTCCCGTGCCTGATCAATCTCCGATCGCGTTAAATTACCGATGCAGTTAATTACTGTTTGTGCCAAATTAAAGAGAATCAAAAACTGTAGCTATACACGCCTACTCCATGCCAGCGCGGATTGAACCGGCCAGTTACTTTATTTTTTTACTATAGAATAAGGGTAACACACAAGCATGCAGTCTACCTGATGGTAGGTGGATACTATAGTCCATAGACATCTATCCTCGGTTAATAATCAAAATACGTTGTTGATGCACTGCGACTTCGAAAGACTATGATGGAATGTCTCGTTTCCAGCAAAAAGATTCACCAGTTCTCTACACTCACCATTTGAAACCCAGCAGCACTAAGCTGATATTGTACGCTGGTATTCTCAGTCTCACCTCAAATGAAACGTCGAGAATCTCAAAGTAATTAGTAGCATAGAGAGAGTCCTAAAATAAGAACAAAATCTTTATAGCTGAACTCTTTATGCGTATAACGTTTAACATGTTACAAAATAAGATAACTATATTATTATTCTCAACTTCTATCTTTTAGAAGGTTGTTGCCATGTTTTCATTCCATAGACACCTTTATTGATGTGCCACAGCATCGCTATGACTTAGTAAAATTAGGGATTTTTTATAAGTCCGGGTCGTAAAACTTATTTATACCAATGAAATTTTATGGGAGCTTCTTCCGACTACTTTCGACAAAAACGTAGCCGAATAATGCGGAATTTTGTACCATCGTTGTATAATTAAAAATATATCGTGAAAAGGTAACTACGAAATTTACTTTACATCAGCCGGTATATTTTCGCCAAATTATCCTTAGACTCATTATGGGTTTCACAGGGAATAATAACTGTTTGTTTAATCGACACTGGGTTTGCTTCGCGGAACGTACACAGAGAGCACTGCTACGATAGTACAATAACAGCGGCACGACGGCGGTTTGCCCTCTCTTTTGTCACTAGATCACAACTGCCAATGAATCGATTCCGAACGTATTACCCATTTTTCTCTCTGCTCTCTCAAGGTATTACCCATCGTTAATTCATTAACTACAGCCTATCAAAAGTCATCTGCTGAACGTAGGGGGGAGTATTTGCCATAGTTCCATAGTTTAGCAACCGCAATTTTTTATTATTTTGAGTTGTTATCAGGAAGATACTGTTGCCTATCTCCTGTTTCATTTCCTATGTCGTATTTTACGGTACTCACGGGACGGCATGGGCTCTTAGAGCTTCTAAGTAATAATATATATTATTTAGTAGGAGGTAGTGATTTTTTTTACGACGTCGCTACAGGGCATAATCAAAATCCTGCCTTAACTTCGCGATTTTGAAATATTTTCGTAAAGCTTTGTTGGATATAGTCGATGATTTTCCGTTAAGCAAGTGGTAAAACTTATATAAATTGAAATCAACTGCCCAGTGTATGAAAGATCATCACTTGAGAACTGCTGGACTGATTTTGATGAACACTTACTCTAACAATTGGAACCGGTAAGTAGAGCAGTTGTCGAGATGTAGAACAATCGTGCGAAGCCGTGGCGGGTCAGTATATAAAACCGTGGCTGATCGTCAGTCAGTATATAAAGCCGTGGCTGATCGTTAGTCAGTATATAAAGCCGTGGCTGATGGTCAATTAGTATATAAAGCCGGGGCTGATCGTCAATTAGTATATAAAGCCGTGGCTGATGGTCAGTCAGTATATAAAGCCGTGGCTGATCGTCAGTCAGTATATAAAGCCGGGGCTGATCGTCAGTCAGTATATAAAGCCGTGGCTGACCGTCAGTCAGTATATAAAGCCGGGGCTGACCGTTCCCCCCTATCTCAGTCAGTATATAAAGCCGTGGCTGATCGTCAGTCAGTATATAAAGCCGGAGCTGATCGTCAGTCAGTATATAAAGCCGTGGCTGATCGTCAGTCAGTATATAAAGCCGGGGCTGATCGTCAGTCAGTATATAAAGCCGTGGGGCTGATCGTCAGTCAGTATATAAAGCCGTATCTGGCTGATCGTCAGTCAGTATATAAAGTCGGGGCTGATCGTCAGTCAGTATATAAAGCCGTGGCTGATTGTCAGTCAGTATATAAAGCCGTGGCTGATCGTCAGTCAGTATATAAAGCCGGGGCTGATCGTCAGTCAGTATATAAAGCCGGGGCTGATCGTCAGTCAGTATATAAAGCCGGGGCTGATCATCAGTCAGCATATAAAGCCGTGGCTGATCTTCAGTCAGTATATAAAGCCGGGGCTGATCGTCAGTCAGTATATAAAGCCGGGGCTGATCGTCAGTCAGTATATAAAGCCGTGGCTGATCGTCAGTCAGTATATAAAGCCGTGGCTGATCGTCAGACAGTATATAAAGCCGTGGCTGATCGTCAGTCAGTATATAAAGCCGTGGCTGATCGTCAATCAGTATATAAAGCCGGGGCTGATCATCAGTCAGTATGTGGCCGAAGTAGGAAAAGGGGAGATCTCACGCCGGGCAAGGTGTTCTGCCCGGGGAGCGGCTCACACTCCGTGTGATAGTTCGGAGATGTTCTATATATGCTGTTTATGATTCGGAATGTTGATAGCGTGATTTAAGCTTCGGTGTGTTTCGCTTGCGGCGCGACGACAGCGCCGCCACATCACCCCCTGCTCAGACC